TGGCAAAGAATTCCACAGTTTAATTGTACCCCGGAGCTGTGGAGGATGAAGCGCAAGTTGAGACGACTACAGCGAGGGTGGCAGCATACTCGTGATGAAGTGGCAAGAACATTGTGTAGGACATTTATGAAGGCCTATGAGATGGCAGTGAAGAACACTAAGAAAGAGTTCTATGCGGTCTCCATTGCATCTACAAACTCACACCCTGCCCAATTATTTAGAACTATGTGGTTACTAACTACACTGCCACAAGGCAGGCAAAATAGTAGGGAACTGACTATTGGCTGTGAGGCATTTGTGAGATATTTTGTAGATAAAGTAATGTCGCTCCACCAGGACCTCCTGACCACAGTGTCAGACCCCACAGCAGGCAATGAAGTACACACTTGCAGGAAGGTTTTACTTTATTGAAGCCATGAAGCACTTAGAACAGATTCTCTGTTCAGAATAACGGGATGAGTGTTTGACAGGTTAAAGCAAGTTCATAATTACACTAGCCAATAGATAAGGTTCCCGCGCCCGCTTAGACGGCGCATCGCGCGCCCAAACCCTGAGATGCAACGGTTCTATACAGTTAAACAATTAGACTATTCCCACACTACATAGTCATTACAGACTAAGCAAAAGCCTCCTGCCGCACACCACCTGTGGCCTTGGGTTGATAACGTTCCATCAAAGCAAGACTAGCATACATAGAAAGGAATGCAGTCGAGGAGAAGATGAGCGCATGAGGGTGAGGGTGGACATGCGCACAAGAGCAGATTACAGTTACCATGGCACTAGGTTTAGACACTAGGGGGTTTTAGGCATGCCTAATACATATTGGAAAGACACATTGGCAGCTCGCTGACACACAGTAAAGGAACTGGAAGCCCCTTGTTCATCTTCAGGTCCAATGCTGGACCATTTTAACCGACTATTCCAGCAGGAAGTCGACAAGATCCTGGCAGCTGTGAAGCCTACCACTTGCCTCCTCAATCCATGCTCATCTTGGCTGGTCAAAGCCTGTGGGCATTGTATTCAGCTCCCCCTGGGAGAGATCATAAATTTGTCCATTTCTTCTTGGACGGACACCCGGACTCCACCCCAGAAAGTCTGGACAGGGCTTTGGAGGCTGTGGCTGGATGGTTATGACAGAGTCACTTGAAGTCACATCCTACGAAGATGGAGGTCTTGTACCTGAGCCGGGGGGGGGGGCAGGTGGATTCATGAATCCAGCTCCCTACCCTGGATGGGGCACTGTTGGGCCTGGTCCAGAAGGTGAGGAGCCTAGGAGTGACTCTGGACTTCTCACTCTCTATGGAGGCCAAGGTCGCCACAGTTGCCAGGTGTGCCTTTTACCATCTTCCACAGATCAGGCAGCTGGTTCCCTATCTCTCCCCTCAGGACTTGGCTACAGTGACCCATGCAATGGTCACTTCCAGGCTTAATTACTATTACTCACTCTACACACGCTTATCCTTGAAGCTGAACCAGAAACTCCAGCTGGTGCAAAATACAGTGGCACACCTGCTGAATGCGACTTCTGTGCAGGCATGCATTCACACGGTGCTCCGCCAATTGGACTGGCTATCAGTTGAGTACCATGTTATGTATGTGGACCGCCACCAGGGGTCCGCGGAACAGGCCAGAGCTTGGATCCTAGAACAATGGAAACTTCAGATCCTGGATCCCCCAGCCCCAACCAATAGCCACCTTGGTGGGACATTCAAACCCTCCAATGGGAATGGGGGGTTGCAGGGTGGATATGTATATAGTTGGCCCTGTTGGCTGTTAGAGTTAGTCTTTGTTTGTGTTTACACTAAATGTGTGCTACAGTATGTCGTCGTCCGAGTCCTCCTTGCGGCGAACCCAGTACTTTTCAGTGGCGACAAAGGTGGGATCCCACTGAGCCAGGCCTGGCTCGCATCCCAGTACAGCACTGAACATCCTTCCAGCCAACGCGCCCAGCTCCGTAAGTGCACCGCCTCAAGGAACCCCGCTTTTCTCTAACGCTTCGCCATGGCCTCTGCTCGGGGAAACTTGGAGATCTACGATCCAGCCCATCCCGAGCTCTGGGACTCATGGACCGACCAAGTGACTTACCATCTAGCCTACAATGATGTATCCGATCCGGGCAAACGACGAAACCTCCTCCTAAGCACATGTGGAGTGAATACCGTCTGCCTCGCAAAGAGCCTCCTCGCACCTTGATCAATCCTCGAGTGCTCATACGAGGAGATCATCGATGTGCTAACGAGCTACCTCACGCCCTGGCCAACCACACTCGCCAAGCGCATCGAGTTCCAGACCCGCGTCCAGAAACTGGGCGAGACGGCCGCAGCTTTTCTTGCAGCCCTGTGGCAACTGGCCATGGGTTGCACCTTCACTAAGGTGGAAGAGAATCTCCTTACGCAATTCGCGTGGGGCATCAGCGACCAGAAGCTGCGAAGAAGGTTGATCGGGACCACTGACATCACGCTCGATGTTGCCCTCCAACTTGTCATTGCCCACAAGGCCTCTCACCGAGATCATCAGCCAGCGGCAGCTCGCCTCATACTCCCTAACTCAGGCCCCAAGAACTCGTCCACCAGCCCTCGCTCGTCCACCAGCCCTCGCGTTGGAGGCCACCAGGTCCCGAGGCATCAGGATCAACCGGGAAACACACAGGGTGGCCCTCATGTGCCAGCTGCGGCAAGGCACACGAGCGCAAGTCTTCCCGCTTCCGTGATGCGACGTGCCACACCTGTGGGAAACAAGGCCATCTCACTCGTGTCTGCCGGTCAAAGAGAAGCCGGTACGAGCAGCCTCCCGTGCAGCCATGCCGCCTGGCCACCAAATCCCATGAGATGGATGCAGAGACGTCTGACCTCTACCTCCTCATGGACTGGCCATCGCTGCAGGTACTCCACCTCCCAAAAGTAGAGTCGACCCCGAAGATCCAACTAACGGTACGGATCGAAGGGTCCCCCTGCACAATGGAAGTGGATTCGGGGTCTGCGGCATCCATCATTTCTGTGGACACACTACGCAGACTTTGCCCAAATGGGGGACCCTGCTTGCGCCCACCCCACTCGAGCTTGGTAGACTTCCAAAGAAACCCAGTTCCTATCCGGGGGGTGGGGTCGTTCCGGGTATAGTTCCAGGGGTTCGAGGGACCGTTGGACTTGATAGTAGTCGAGGGAAATCTGGTCAGTCTGCTGGGCAGTGCCTGGTTCGCGCCGCTGGGCATCACAGTCAGGGTCGAGGGGTGCTTAAATGTGCCAGATCCAATTTCCCAAAAATCTTGGCCCCCACAAGCAAGGCCAGCACGTGGCTAACGACCGGAACTGGGTATGAGTGCTCATGAAGGGCCGTGGCCTCGCTTGTGGGGGCCAAGATTTTTGGGAAATTGGATCTGGCACAAGCCTACCAACAGCTGGCAGTAGACGAGGCCACGGCGACCGCGCAGACCATAGTCACCCACAGGGGAGCGTTTAAGGTCAAGAGATTACAATTCGGGGTGAGCGTCGCCCTGGGAATTTTCCAACAACTAATGGATTCATTGTTAAAAGGGATCCCTGGAGTGACGCCATTCTTCGACGACGTCTTGATTGCCACCACGACCCCCGACGAATTTGCCTCCCGTCTTCGCACCGTCCTGCAGCATTTTGACTTGGCTGGACTCAAAGTGAAATGAAAGAAGTGCCTCCTCGGGGTTCCGGAGGTGGACTTCCTGGGGTTAGGGAATTCGCCTCCTGTCTTCGCACTGTCCTGCAGCATTTTGACTTGGCTGGACTCAAAGTGAAATGAAAGAAGTGCCTCCTCGGGGTTCCGGAGGTGGACTTCCTGGGGTTCCGGGTCAATGCTACCGGTTTGCACCCAGCGAAGGACAAAGTAAAGGCCATCGTGGAGGCTCCTGTCCCCACTTGTAAAGCTGAACTTCAGGCATTCTTGGGACTAATACATTTTTACCACGCCTTTTTGCCCCACAAGGCTGCGGTAGCGGAACCCCTACACCGGCTCCTTGATAAGTCGGCTCCTTGATAAGTCGGTCGACAGGGAGGGGTTGGCGATTGTGGCAGGGGTAAAAAAAATTCCACAACTTCGTATATGGGCACCCCTTCATGATTGTTATGGACCATAAGCCCCTTTTGGGCATCCTGGCTGCCGACAAGCAAATGCCACAAGTCTTGTCCTTGCTCAGGTGGTCACTTTTCCTGGCGGGGTACCAGTACCGCCCGGAGCACCGCCCGGGCAAAGCGATGGGCCATGCCGTCACACTGAGCAGGCTGCTGCTCCCCGTTGTGGACGCTGACCCAGCGCCTGCCACAGGGGTTCTGCTCATTTAGGACCTTCCGCAGCCCCCTCTGCAAGCTGCCGACGTCGTGGCCAAGTCAAACCATGACCCTCTTATCTCCCGGGTCTTGTGCTGGGTGGTGAGGGGTTGGCCAGCTTCCTCCCCGGGGGCCGAGTTCGCGGCGTTCACTACCCATAAAGACGAGCTGTCAGCACTCAAAGGGTGTCTCTTATGGGGAGACCAAGTAGTGGTTCCTGGCACTCTTAGACAGAGGGTCCTTGCGGCCCTCCACGAGGCACACCCCAGCATTGTGAGGATGAAGGCACTGGCTCGGAGCTACGTGTGGTGGCCGGGGATGATGCCGAGATCGAGTCATGGGTCCGGAGGTGCCAGACATGCCAGGAAGTTCAGCCCAACCTGCCAAGCGCACCCTCACAGTCTTGGGAGTCAACCCGCAAACCATGGTCCTGGCTACATCTCGATTTTGCCGGACCATTCCAGGGACTAACATTCCTAATCACGGTTGACTCCTACTCCAAATGGCTGGAGGTCAGCCCCATGGCCACCACCTTCACCAAGGCAGTAATTAGATCCCTACGCCGGCTTTTCACCACACACGGCCTGCCGGACACATGGGGCGGCCTTCACGTCTGCGGAGTTCCAGGAGTTCCTACAGAGGAATCTGATCAGGCACATCCGCTCGGCACCCTTCCACCCCACGACCAACGGTCAGGCAGAGCGGATGGTGCGGACCGCGAAGGAAGCCCTTAGCTGGATTTCAGAAGGGGACTGGGAGTTCCGTCTCGCCCGGTTCCTCCTGACCTACAGGATGACGCCTAACCCCATCACAGGTCACAGCCCCGCCGAACTGCTAATGGGCCAGCACCCGATAATGCTGCTGGATCGACTGCACCCCGACCGGGCACCGGGCTCGAGGAGGTTGACCGAACAGCGGGAGGCTTCGAGGGGGTTCTTCCCAGGGGACCCAGTGTTCCTCTGGAACTACAGGTCCGGACCCCCTTGGATAGCGGGCCGTGTCAAGGGTTCAGTCTCCTATGAGGTGTCAACAGAGGATGGTCGACTTCTGCAGAGACACATCGATCAACTGCGGAGGCAGCAACTCCCGGAGCCGCCCCCCCCCCAGTTGACGACCGGGACGGGCGTTCCCATTCAGGAACCCGACATCCCAGCCAAAACCCATCCCAGCGAAGAGGCTATGCCAGGCGGCTCTCTTCCGGAGGGAATCGAACCTATAGCCCGACAGCCGGCCCCACAACTGGCGCAGCCACCCCTTGGCTGTGTGGCGCAACCACACAGCCAAGCAGCTGGAACCAGAGGTTAGTGAGCCAGTGCCGGCCCCCCAGCTTTCCACACGGGAGCGCCGGCCCCCCGCATACTTGCAGGACTACGTGACATAGGCAGAGTCGGAACTATGGGGGGAGGGGTGTTATGTACGTGGACTGCCACCAGGGGTCCGCGAAACAGGCCAGAGCTTGGATCATAGAACAATGGAAACTTCGGATCCTGGATCCCCCAGCCCCAACCAATAGCCACCTTGGCGGGACATTCAAACCCTCCAATGGGAATGGGGGTTGCTGGGTGGATATGTTGGCCGTTAGAGTTAGTCTTTGTTTGTGTTAAGTACAATAAACTTGTGCTACAGTATGTCGTCGTCCGAGTCCTCCATGCGGCGAACCCAGTACTTTTCATACCGGATTCATTTCAAGGTGCTAGTTACCACCTTCAAAGTCCTATGCAGCCTGGGACTGACATATCTAAGGGGCTGCCTCTCCCCATATATGCCCTGGAGAGCCTTGCGCTCTGCGAATCACCATCTGCTAGTTATACCCGGCCCAAGGGATGTTCACTTAGTCTCAACCAGGGCCAGGGCTTTCTCTGCCCTGGCCCGGTCCGGTGGAACATGCTCCCAATGCGAGACCTAGTACAGTTTTGCAGGGCCTGCAAAATGGAGCTGTTCCGCTAGGCCTTCAGGTGAGGCAGTGGGCATCATTAATTGGTCTCCCTGCTGCAGTTGCTGCAGTTTCTGCTACTGATAAGATCTTTATAGGTCGGCTGTGGCCCAGTTACTCCCAGTTTTGGATGACTGAATATGTAATTGCTGCTATGCCCATCTTTTAACTGTTTTAACTGTTTTTATCACTTAATATTTACTTTAATTGCTTATGGATGGTAAATTATTGTTGCAACCTGCCCTGAGCCTACTCGTGGGAAGGGAGGGATAAATAAATAAATAAATAACCAGTTGAGTAAAGAAGTATTTCCTTTTCCCTGTTCTGAACCTATTTCCCAACGACTTCATTGAGTGCCCCTGAGATCTAGTATTCTTGGAGAGAGAAAGAGTCTCTGACGTGACGGAGGATTTAGCAATGAAGACACAGAGTTGAAGGGAGGAGGAGCCAAGAGGGAAGCAGGACTGGGGCAAAATTGTTCTTATTTGTTAACTGGTTGGGATATCTTTATACTGATAAACGTTATGCCAATATTTGTACCAGGTTCTCTGAATTCCCAGGTTTAATTAAAATCCAAACTCAGTCTCTTTATCTGGTCAATTGCTTTTTGAAAAGAAGTCCACATACACCAGGACCGACATCTCACGACTAAAGCGAAACCTGACCAACTAGACCCGACAGGGTTGCTGTGGAAATCCCTACATACAGGGCCTGGTGATAAGGAGCTAAACAAGCCCCCTGCTTGTACTTCTTTCCCAAACCTCTTATATTGAGATGTTTCCTGATGGTGCTGAATTAATTAAAGTAACATCTTACAAGAGAAAATAGTAAAAAATGATTTTTTTGGGGGGAAGGACTCTGTACCCCCCCATTGCCTGCTGATATTGTTCCTCCCTCCCTTTCAATTAGGTAGGGATTAGACATGTTCTGGATTGGGTCATGATGTGCTGCAACTAGTTTTAGGCTGGAGCTAGCTGTGAAGAAGCCATCTATTCAGCTCCTCGCCTTTTCTGCAGGTTTTTTTTTATAATACAATGTGACATAAGCTGCCAGAGACACATGGTGGACTGGTAACATACCACCAGTGCTTTGCCTAAGTGTGCAGTGCAAACATTGGGCAGGGGGTCCTGCATTGGGCAGGGGGTTGGACTAGATGGTCTGTATGGCCCCTTCCAACTCTATGATTCTATGAAAGAAGAGATCATAGAACCACAGAGTTGAAAGGGGCCATACAGATGATATTTGATGAAGAAATAATGTGAACAAGTGAAGGTGTGATGAATTAGAACAAGAGAAAGGTTGATGTGGACAGGTCTTTGTAAGAAGGATGTGAAAGGAAAAAAGGAGGTGGTTTGACAGATGGGGTAGCAGCTGTAGGCTCAGTGAAGGAGGAAATTCAATCTGTGTGTACAGAGATTTTCCCCCCCTGAAGCAACAATCATAGATCTCCTCTTACTGCTACTGTGGTAGCACTCGTCTTAAGCCATTAATGTAGTATGATATCTGCACAGACATAATTTAGGGGCAGAGGGAAATCATAATCTTTTATGCATTCTGTTTGCTTCCATACAAGTCAATGGGATGGGGAAATTGACTACACCACTTTACAAGCAGTTTTTGGGCTAGTTAATTTCAACACTGCCACTAGGAAAGGCTGAACTGTTCCCCCCGCCCCACATCTTAGACAGTAACACCACCACAGTTATGGGTATACACTATCATTTCTTGTAAAAGGGTGGATCAGAGAGAAAATTAAAAGGCAACATTAAAAATTGTTCTGGGCATAAGAATGGGAGTGAGAATGTGTAATTTGTCAAAAGTATTACCCAATTCTCATTTGCAATAACATAAAACATGCAGCTTCAAAAGTGGAAATGGGACAATAGAATAAAAAAGCTATAATAGTGTTTGATCTGGCAGAACTAGAATGTCTATCCTACTTTCTCCACCTATGTGGTTGAAATGGTATCATTATAATTATTAAAGTTAGGCGATCATCCTGATTTATACTAAGCAGCTGGTTTACTGACCGGTTAATTTTCATGCATAGAATGAAATGCAAAGAAACATTTAGATGCTCCTCTCTCTCTCGGTTACACCCATCTAGATAACCTGCTATTGTACCACAGTGATGTGTATTAATACACACTTGATGCAACAAGTATAATATATACCTCCCTTCTCAGAAAGCAATCATTTTAAAAGAATTGGTATAAAAGAATTTGGCCTGGAAAAAAAAACAAAAGGGGGGGGGGGGGGACAAACCAAAGAGATGCCAGATGTGCTTCTTTTAAAATATTTATAAAGGAGCTACTCACCATTCAAACTGCTGCCAGGATCATAGGTGTCTCCTTTTGCTTCGCATTCTGGAGAGTGGCTAGAAAATAAGCTCTCTTGTGCATAACAAAAGCTTGCCTACTTTGTTCCGGACTGTGTAAAAGTTGCTAGGGAACACTTTTTCTTGACAACAGCCAAGCACTTCCCATCTCTCTCCCTCAACCCCCCCACCCCCACCCCCCGAACAAACCTAAGTCAAATTCTGGCTTTCTTTTGCGACATTCAGTAGGAGCAAACTATTTTTTACAGACAAGCTAAAATGGCTATTCAGACCAACAACGGGCAACCTGATAGAGAGACAGGCCCAGGATCCAGAACCTGCAAGAAAACCCAAGCACCAATTCTGTCACCATAGGACTATACGTTGCACTGTATTTGTGTCCTGTTTCCTTGACCTGAAAGGGCTCTGGAAGCCCTTATTTGCCCTGGTTGGGAAACTTACATATAGCCCATGAGTACCACACAAGTTTCCCCAAGGGCACAAATGAATAGTTTCCCAGAGCCATTTCTGGTCAGGAGATGAGAACAGCCGGTCAGGGAGGGGATAAGCTCTCTCTCCCTGCAATCTCAAATGGAACCAGTCCCCTGTGAGCTTGGGAATTTGTTTTCAATCAATCTATATTGCATTACCAACAAAAACCATAGCAACGATACAGAGTTTTTGCCCGAATACCAAAGTGTTGCTTGGATGTTTATTTATTTATTTTATTTCATTTATACCCCATCCCCGCACGCGGGCTCAGGGTGGCTTACATAGGCACAAAGTGCAATAGCGATAAAACAGGTTAAAAACAGTTAAGACTAAAATTCACAACAAACAGGATACATGAGAGACTATAATACACACTCCCCATTGCATATCAGGAAGGGGTCAGAAAAGGGGGGATGTTGCTGGCATGAAGGCATCACTTCCTGTGTGATGCCAGTGATGATGCCTAGGCCTTTCTCATAAGCCATCCTCTGCCAATTGCCAGGAGGGAGGGACCTGACAGCCCTAAGCAGGGCAGAGGTTGGAGCAGTGATCGAGCTCTATGGGGTGTGATGCCATAGAGTCCATTCTCCAAAGCAGCCGTTTTCTCCAGGGCAACTGATCTCTGTTATTTGGAGATCAGGTGTGATTTCAGGAGATCTCCAGGCCCCACATGGAGGTTGGCAACTCTATCAAGAATGCTCCTCCCCCCTGCAACACAGTACCAATCTGAATCAGGCCCCCACAGTGCTCTTAAAAGGAGTTCCCACTGGGAACTTGTAAGTGCAATATGGCTGCAAGTCTCTGTGATGGACTTGCGTATGTTATACTGTGTAGTTTGTCCCTGAGGGTGTTCTCCTCTCTGCAGACAGGTACTTAAAACCTGGGCATGCCCAGAAGTGTGAGCCAAGAGCTCTTGGACTTTAACTCTTAGTATTTGGGTCTCAGTTGAGTGGATACTTAGATACTTATCGTGAAGGGTCCTTCTCCTCTGGTGGTGGCAGCAAGCCCCGCCCCAGCTCTCTGTGCTGAAGTCTGTCGCTGGTCTCCTGGGGCCCGCGCCGGAGCGCTGCCACCCCAAGGAGGCCAGAGGAGGCCTGTCGTCGGCTCCCTGGGGCTCGCGCCAGAGCGCTGCGGCCCCAGGAAGGCTCCAGGAGGTCCATTGTGGGTTTCCTGGGGCTCGCGCCGGAGCGCTGCCACCCCAGGGAGAGCAGAGGATGTCCGTCGCCAGCTCGCACCGGAGCGCTGTGGCCCCAGGAAGAGCAGAGGAGGCCTGTCGCCAGCTCCCTGGGGCTTGCGCTGGAGCGCTGTGGCCCCAGGGAGAGCAGAGGAGGCCCGTCGCTGGCTCCCTGGGGCTTGTGCCAGAGCGCTGCCGCCCCAGGGAGGCCAGAGGAGGCCCGTCGCCAGCTTCCTGGGGCCCGCGCCAGAGTGCTGTGACCCCAGGGAGGCCAGAGGACGCCCGTCGCCACCTCCCTGGGCCAGTGCTGGAGCGCTGCAGACCAGGGGAGGCCAGAAGACGCTCCCCACTGCCTCCCGGGGTAAGTGAGGGATCCACGGGGGG